ACTTCGAAGGTGCAAAGCTCATACCGTACCTACGGACATTGATTGACAACTGATTAAGTGTGGACTGCATGCCTTGGGCATTGTAGCGCAGTCAGACAATATAATCGGCATACTCAAGGTCGAGAACTCTTTCTCCAGGCAACAGATCCACACTATCATTACTTACATCCATCAGAGCTGTTTTCAGAATGTCATCGATGGAAAAGTTGAAGAACAGAGTGTCCTAACTTGTGAATAAACTTGTTTTGTTTAAGTGAAACAAATAACCAAGTGAAAAGTGATATGGAAATTATATATATATATATATATATATATATATATATATATATATATATATATATATATATATATATATATATATATATATATGTTTTTTTACAACTAGCTGGTTAGTTAACTTTTAGTGATATTGTTTGTCGGTTTCATCTAAAATAGATGAAATTTCACTTGGATTGATAATGCAAAAACTTAAATGAGTTTACTATTCAACTATAAAACTTTTCTGTAACAGTTAATAACACGTATTTTAATAATTATTTATAACCATCTTTACGATTTATGATATAGAGTTCATCATTTTCGATCAATATATTGAAATCCTTATATACCTGAATAAGATCTATAATGTAATAGAATAAATTATCATGAAATAACTATCTGTTCATAGACCAATTTCAACTTTATAGTATCACTAACTGTCATGTATAATTTAATTATTTGTGCTAGACACTATCATACAATTATTATTCAGTGTCATTGGTAAAAATGCAATCAAAGAAAAATTATGTAACTTGGATGTTTATTTCTGTTTGACCTTGTTTATTCTTAATTAGAGAATAAGAATCAATTATTTTTTTGACATTACCCTTCGTTTAATTCACTGAATATCATTATATCTTCCAGAAATCGATAATAGCAATCAGTTAACTCACTCAGTCAGTCATTCAGCTATACCGTAAGACCAGGCACATATATGCATCGCTCCAAGTTGCCATACATCATTAACACAACAAGATGAACAACGGATTCATAAAAGTGGTTAATGCAGAGGTGGTAATATATAGAAGAAAGATTGCAATAAGGATATAGTACAGGACGAAACAATTATTTAGTAGAAAAGAAAATATGAAGCGATTTTAATCTCATAGTTTAATGGAAGACAGAGAGTGTATACACCTACATCATTGTGATCGATTATGAACCATGTCACCCACAGTCTCCAACCATTGATTACGATAGTCACGCGGACTCCAACCAAGTAGTCTGCATCTACCAACATGGCACAGACTAGAAGTTAGTGACTTCAAGCACTGATGCCACGTTTTGGTTTGACCACACCTAACTTTCTTCCAACCATCTCCTACACCAGTTAGCATTGTACGTCGTGGTAATCGGTGTTCAGGCATACGTAATGCGTGGCCCAAGAATCTCAGTCGATGAAAATTCACAACCTCATCAACTGATTTACTATCATTCCCTAATACCATGGGTCTAACATCACTATTATTTACCCGGTGTTGCCAGCAGATGTCAGCAATATTTCTAAGGTATTTGTGGTCAAATAATAGTAGCTTGAGAATATCTTCTACTCTCAATGGCCATATTTCGCTGCCGTAAATTAAAGCAGTACGAACTACCGCGCAGTATACTCGTCCTTTTATTGATAGACGGATATCTCACCTTCGCCAAAGGTGACGTAGGTTGGCAAAAGCCAAACGAGCTTTCTGAATCCGTGCTGAGATTTCGTCAGACACCAACCCATTAGGGCTGATCAGACTTCCAAGATATGTGAAGCGGTCGACACGCTCAATTACTTCACTCTCTATCCTCAGTTCAGGTGTTGATTCAGACCAGTCCTGAAGCAACAACTTGCATTTAGAGGGAGAGAAGCGCATTCCAAACATTTTGGCATTATTGCTCAGTGCTACCAAAAGACTCTGCATTTTATCAGCGTCTTCACCAAACAAAACTATATCATCTGCGTATTCTAAGTCGATAAGTGGACCTACTGGAAGGAGATCGATACCCGAGAATTCAGTCGCCGAGAATGTTACTTCCATCAGTAGGTTTATGGTGAGTTTACACAAAAATGGAGAAAGTGGACAGCCTTGACGAACACAACTTGAGGTTGCAAAAGCAGATGATAGCTCGCCATAAGCTCTGACTCAACTAGTAGTTTTCGAGTAAAGAGCCTTCACAAGGTTTATGTACTTCTGAGGTACGCCTTTCAATGACAGACACTGCCACAGTATCTCGCTGTCTACAGGGTCGAATTCTGCTTTTAAGTCAAGAATTAAATTTTTAATTCGTAGTGAATTACATATATTAGCTTGCTTATTCACTTGTTAAGATCTATCTATTCATACTTGAAGAGGAAAATATGATTAATGGAGACAGAATTAAATTGAATCCTTTTCTTGCACAAATAAAACTTTCGAATAGAACGGAATTTGAAAGAAGTGTTTTCTTTTTCAACTAAAAATACGGTGTATATTGTAGAGTTCCCGTTATTTAACAGATAAGAATCAAGATTTTTTCAAATACCAATCAAAAGCAGGATAGTTTTATTCATTATTTATCAATAGGTAAGTAATCAGCTTTAAATGATACATTGGAATATGAACTTTACTAAGTGTGTTTAAATTTAGTCGCTGCAATATATTGGTCCAATTGTGTTTAAGATGTTTAATAATAATAAATATATTTTTTGTTATATCCCAATGAGTAAAAAAAAAGTATTTCTGACGTTTTGTGACTTAATGTGAGCCACTTCTTCAGAGTGAATAAATAACTGAAAAAAAAAGAAACAAAATTATACTTATTAGTAACTTTCTACCCAACGCTCAACTTATTTGAAACTATCATATTTAACCTATAAAATGTTTATCATTTGGCTAGTAATAATTTAATATCTGAAATTAAACTTTGACAGTACCTGAACGTAAACTCACATGAGCTAAATGTGAGCTGTAATCGCAAAATTAAATTTATTCTGTGCAAAATCCACAAGTCAATAATCTATTTCTGGTTTCGATTACCTAGTTCTCGTGACTTAACAATTATTCATTGTTTCTGATTAATAGTTATGTTTGATGAGTCATGGGGTCATGTTTTATCCTATTTCCCTTCTGTTTAGTTTATATCACGAACTGTTAATACGAGTAAAGAAGTTACCTGTTAAGTTTTGAGAAAAAAAATGCTCTCAGTGCTCCGAAGAATTCAATCAGCATAAACGATTATAAAAAAGTGATATTAATTACTACTCATCGATCAATCAGTGATATCTAGATTGGTGGCTCAACTTTAGTTACCAATTTATTGCTGATTCATTCGAATTATTTGCCTTTTAAAAGTTACTCGACTAACAAAAATGGTTGGAAAATGTTTTTCATTTAATTTCATTTTTGAGGGGACTAAATATTCCTAAGGGAGTGGGATTATTCCAGTATTTCAATTAATATGTGATTAGTGTGATTTTCTGTGAGGCTTTTTTGAATTTCCATAATAATTTACATAATTGATTAACTTCCTCTAAATAATCATTGAAAACCATGAACCGTTGGACAAATGATTATTTACACCTGGCTACTTCCCAGTCATGCACATTAAAAACTTCACATGAGATTGATCCATTCACCTTAAGTTTTTTTTGGGGAGGGAAGAGATTGAATCCAACTGTTCAAATCCTTGGCTGTTGTCAATTCGTGAAATCACCCGATTATTATTAAATGCCTTCAGTGAGAAATAATCAACTACTGACTAGACTGACTTCACAAATCATATTTTCCCACTTAAATCTACCAGATTATGTTCTAAACAATTTTTTTGAAGTAAACAAGTGACCATAAAATTCTTATCTAGTTTTCCTTATGTATTTATTGTGACTTGTCATTTGTATGACTTCATATTAAGTGTTTAACCCCATTAGTCAAGAGTCAAACCATGAGTTACTTATGATTTTTTTTTCTTGATTGCAAGCTTGAGCTATTTTCCCTCTTAGGAATGTCCAGAGTATGAAGATATAGAAAGTGATGTGAAAGATTTAGCGTCTGTGGTTATTCAAAATGTTATTAAAATTTTACAATTTAATGATATGATTACGAATTAAAAGTCAATACACAACTGTAATGTTTTCCATGGTTAATTGGTACATAGTTAACTGGTAAATGAGTTGATGAGGTTGTGAATCTTCATCGACTGAGATGCTTGGGCCACGTGTTACGTATGCCTGAACACCGATTACCACGACGTGCAATGCTAACTGGTGTTGGAGATGGTTGGAAGAAAGTTAGGGGTGACCAAACCAAAACGTGGCATCAGTGCTTGAAGTCACTAACTTCTAGTCTGAGCCATGTTGGTAGATGCAGACTACTTGGTTGGAGTCCGTGTGACTATCGTAATCAATGGTTGGAGACTGTGGGTGACATGGTTCAGAATCGATCACACTGATGTAGGTGTATACACTCTCTGTCTTCCCTTAAACTAAGAGATTAAAATCGCTTCATATCTTTCTTTCTACCAACTAAATCTTTCTTCCTGTACTATATCCTTATTGCAATCTTTCTTCTATATATTACTACCTCTGAATTAACTACTTTTATGAATCCGTTGTTCATCTTGTTGTGTTAATGATGTATGGCAACTTGGAGCGATGCATATATGTGCCTGGTCCTACGTTATAGCTGAATGATTGACTCAATCTAATCACTCATTAGTATCAAATGCCAATGTATAAAGATATTCACTAGATAAATAGATACAATTTGTTGATTAATTTATCATGTTAGTAAATTATCACAATCAGGTAAATTCATATGAATCCATTCGGAATTGATTTATTCTAACTATCAGAATTCAAACTAATCATCAATTAATTATTACAATCATAAACAATTATCTATTGTATACTATTTATACATAGACTTTAAAAGTCATGAATTAGTTCTATTTTATTCATATCAATAAATTAGATAAAAAGAGGAATTCATGGATTGATAAAGATGAATAGTCTACAATCTGATAATGTAACATCAAATTATCTTAAACATTTTAAATACACAAATGATTTTAAAGATTTTTCATATTTTTATATTTCATTACCTATTTCATTATATCCAGAAAATAGTCCAGTCATTGTGAATGATATGTGTAAATCAAGAAAATATATACCGATTACAATAATTGCACCTGATGGTAGGTTGATTGCTCTGTTGTCTGTATTTTTGTGGTGTTTGAATTGACTAATGATACTTTTGTACATGTTGATTGCACGATTTCGAATTCCAAATACAGTACATTCGTTTGTGCTTGTGACTTCTTAATTCAATTGCGTTATTTCTTGGACTCTTAGTTAGTGCTATAATTCAAATAATTCGAAACATTATAATTTTTCATACATATTACAAAGTAATATTAATGCTTAGTTTTGTTAAGTTATAAGATTTACGGAAGATTAGTAACAGAGTTGCTTTGAATTGATTAATACAAAATGGTTAAAATATCCTGTGTTTAGATACTTTAGATTGTTGTAAAAATTTCAACATAACAGGCTAGGAACTGATACGAGAAATATGGCATTATATGTTGTTCAATGGCTCAATAATGAAAATATGGATGTTAAGAAAGAAAAAATAAATAATATTCTGTCAAATTGTCAATGTTAAGGAAGTAGCGTGTAAATGTATTTGTCTATTAGGATCACGTTCATAGCGTGCTTAGTTAAATTATCTAATGAAAGTCTTGAAAACTACCCTTGAAGATTCATTACTCTCTGACTGAAAACCATTACTATATTGGAAAACTATAACGTTTAAATTCAGTTCACATTACAATATCTTCAAAATATGTTAGTAAAATATTGATATACAAATATTATTTATTACTTAACAATTACACCTTTTATGTTTCTACATTAGCTAGAAATATGGCTAGCTTTCATTAGAAGATACCGTACTCATTTTTATTTGCTAGAGGCTAAAGTACTGATTTAGATTTAACCTTTAAGTTAAAATCGTCATAATCACTTCAATATACTTCGGACCTAATAGTGATCTATTTGGATTTTTCAATACTACTATATTCGTTTAAGTAATGTTAGTAAAACACTTCATTTTTAGGTTATGTACCGAATTCACCGATTCAGGTCAAATTGAAACCTTTGGGAAAAAAAGAATCCGTAAGTAATATCACTCATTGATACGATATAGAAATAATATTAATGTTGATACGTATTGGTTTGTTTTCATTGAATCAGGGTAGAGTTTATAATGAAATAAATTAATTATAAGCAAACACTTAACAGGTTAAAATAATTTGTAATAGTTTTGTAAGTGTGTACTTATAGAATAGAAGAAAATTATAGAATTTTACCACAAAATTATCAAAGTCTACTGATTCACAATTTTTTATTTAGATTAATTTAAACAACTCTTGAAGATCTACAATGAGTAGATAACTAGTATAAGGGTTGTGGATATCATTAAGTTTTTTTATTGTGATCATGAACCGATTGATGTCAGACCATTTATGAAAACCTGAAAGCACTGGGACTCATCAGCAGCGTGCATCCACGATCCTGCTTGCGGGATTCGAACCCAGGGCCTTCGGTCTTGCGCGGATGCGCAACACTGAGGAGTCTCACAATAAAACGAAACGGCCTTTCAGTGCTTCCAGGTTTCCAAAGGTGGTCTGACATCAATCGGTTCATGATCTCAATAAAAAAATGAGTAGATAGTTAATCATCTGAAACAAATTCAATTATAAACAGAGTTGGATGATAGCTTGCACTGAAATTCAGGACGTGGATCTCATTCCATTCAGGACTCGTCAAGCCTATGTATCTGTATCTTAGAGTCGATGTTTATTCTGGCAATCAGTAGCTAATTTGATAACACATTATTGCTTGAATTAAAAGGTAATGGGTGTGAATACATGAGGGAACATGATTTTTAATATGTAGATACATCCAATTGAGCAGTCTCAAATAGAAAGAAACGCGTTTCTCAGACTCCACTACTAGTCATCATCTATCTCTCTATATTATACTCGTGACTCAATAGTAATATTGAGACAATCTGTATGGAATGCATATATGTGAAATGAGACTGATCAATTGTAGTGTTGAATATTCATGGGAAGATCCAAATAACCAATATATCTCAGTATACTATGATTGTTTATATGATAATGTTTGAACACAAACACTTATACTATTCTATCACACATGAGTTCTCTTCCTTAACATGTAGATAATCTTGTTTGCTTGTCATTTTCTGTACAATTAAGTGATAATATAATGATCTACATTCCCTTACTTGATTTTATTGAACTAACAAATTGTTGATAAACTGACTCATGAAACATACACAATTTTCATTTTAATGACAGGTATTTTTCTCACTGTTTAATGTATGTGGTTTGTGCTTGAGAGTGATTGGTTAGTGATTAGTGACCAATGTAATATATTTTTGGTGATTCATACTACATATAGAATTCAGTTGACGAAGTTGCAATGTGTTCACTAGTTCAGGTGACTCGACGTCGCGTGCACTATGATATAATGCATTACATAAAATAATGTAGAAAAGTTCAGTCATTTGGAATTTACTTAGTTATATAACATATAATTATCACCAAGTTTTATATGCACAAATAATACCTGTGTTTATTTATTATTTATTGCATTACTAATTTCATATGAATCAAGTTCGCATTAAATTTACCTTTTATTCATCAAAAAATATTTAGTATGCATATTTGTTCATAAACAGTTTACAGTTTCTTACTGATATAGTAAATGTTTGGTTAAAAAAATGAATTAGATTCTTGATGACATAATGATCAAATTAATTTTCCTCACTACACAACGAATATAAAATGCAAAAAAAACAAACACACAATGAGCTAAGTCATAAAACCTTTCCGTTTTATGAGTTGTCGGTGATCAATATATGAATTTGAGAAGTGTTTTTTTATTATTTAATAGGCATTTAGGAATTACAATTTTTAATGTTTACGATGATAAAACAAACTTGGAGAACTACAACAACCACCATCAAGAAGGTACAAGTATTTATAAATAGTTGTCTACACATGATACTCAACATCCATTGGCTGGATACCATCAGCAATAGCTTTCTGTGGGAGATTCTAAACCAGCTTCCAGCTGAAACGGAAATTAGAAAAAGACGATGGAAATGGATAGGGCATACATTATGAAATCACCGAACTGCATCACGAGGCAAGCCCTAACTTGGAATTCTGAAAAGAAGCAGAAAAGAGGAAGGCCAAAGAACGCATTACGTCTGAAAATAGAATCAGATGCGAAAAGGATGAATAATAGCTTGAAAGAGCTGGAAAAGATTGCCCAGGACAGGGTTGGATGGAGAATGCTGGTGAGCGGCCTATGGTTCATTGGGAGCAACAGGTGTAAGTAAGTAAGTATGTAAGTAAGTAAGTAAGTAAGTAAGTAAGTAAGTAAGTAAGTAAGTAAGTAAGTAAGCAAGTAAGTAAGTAAGTAAGTAAGTAAGTAAGTAAGTAAGGATTCTAGTTCATTGATTCACTAATAGGGAGTAATGTGTCGAACTTTGTATGGAATGATGAGTGAGATATTCCTAAAGATTTTAAACTAGAAAGAAGTTGTTGCTCAACTCTTCTTCGTACTCAACTGCCTCTTAACCAGTTACAGTTTATAATAAAAGTGTCATTTGGAAGTATGAAATTCTTATAACTACCTTAGTAAGTGATTAACTGTTTGTTTAAATTTTGAAAGTAGGTTAATATTTAATTGTTAACTAAAATAACAGTGATCTATTTATTTGAAAAATAAACTTAACCGATCCATAGTGATAAATATTTGTCGTAATAATTACTTATGAAAGATCTTATAATCTAATAGTAATTAACTACTTCCTTATTTCGTTTGTATAATTATCGATTATCTCTTCGTTTCATACGTAATTTAGTTAGTTTATTAAAATAGATATGATTTCAGTGGTAATTCATTATTTCAATATGCATTAGTTGAATTAAATAATTATAAAGGAATCAAACTACTTTCTAATCATTTAAATTAGTTTAACACACTTAAATGATCTTGATTTCCTTTTTTTTGGGGTAATAAAAAGATGCATAGAAATTTATTTACTGAATTTACAAGGTTCAGCTATGAATAAAAATATTTTGTATTTTTCAAAATTATTTAATAATAATGTTAATGAGAAATCTATAACTAAAACTGATGAATAAAGAAACACTGTTACTACTTAAATGATCATTTAGATTTACAAAAATAATTCACATATACATTTTAGTTGGAAGAAAGTTTTCATTTGTTAATTAACAATATTTCGAGAAATCTAAGTAACTAGCGGGATCATGGATGCGCATTGCTGAGGAGTCCCACAATAGGACGAAACGGCCGTCCAGTGTTTCCAGGTTTCCAACGGTGGTCTAACATCAATCGGTTCATTATGTCAATCAAGAACTAGAAAGTAGTCTAATCACTATTTCCTGACTTATCACTAGTAAGAAATGATTAAATAATATTATTATAGCTAAGAATAAAACATCTTTGATTCAACATTATTTATTTTTAATGATATTCATTGTTGAAAAGTATAAAAATAGATTGAAACAGATACTCGTTACTTATTCATTTTTAATAATTTTCCAACTGAAGTCATGTCTTCTTTTTCAATTCAATAGATTTATATGAGCAATTTATATACATTGTTAGTTAGGGTTTTTAATCTTATGAGATACAGTTGATTTTGTTTACTTAATTTTGGATATTCTTCAATAAAAATCATCGAGTAGTTTGGATTTATTTGATGATGAAGCATTCAAAAGTGATGTCGACAGTTTTACAAACATATAATCTGTAATCCTATCCTGAATGTTTAGTTTTCTTAAATCAAGTGAACGTATAACCATTAAATATAAAATAAACGACTTTTGTTGCTTTGTTCATTTACGACATGAAAGTCTTTCGTAGTTAAAATAATCATAAAGGAAATTTAGATTTGTGATTCAGACTGACATATATATATATATATATATATATATATATATATATATATATATATATATATATATGGTTTATCTTTAATTATAAGGGAACTGATATTGCCAATGGGATATATACATATATCATTTAATGTCACAGTCATAATCAGTACGATTAAGCTCTACTAATCCCTATCTTATATCGAATAAATTATGCTTTACTATCGAGTTACTTATCATTCTGGCGACATCATAAGTTATGTCAGCAGATTTCGATCAACGCATAACATGATGACATTAGTTACTACCCGATAACTGATCAAAGTTACCTGTAATATCTCATAACATACTAGTTGTAAATACAACTATATTTATAACATTTTTACTTAAGACCTTAAAGTATTCGTGAATTTTGTTTGACGATTGTACCAAATAAAGGTAAACTCCTTAAATAAAAATATGTTATTTTATTATCTTATTAATAAGTGAATAGAGATATAAACATCACGAATTGTTATTATGTAATTTCAAAAATTATATCTGACCTTTTCATGGAACATTTATAAAAATAGAAATGTGAACAAAGTATAAAGAATGAAGCAGAAAATGTAGGATATTTAGTATAAAGTTTATATATCTATATAATATGTCCTACCAGTTCATGATGAAAACTAGTTTTTTATCTATCGAATTAATGATATATATGAAGTAAACATAATACATTACTAATATATATCATCCGAAAACTATTTTATAAATTATCGACAAATTACCCTTGTTGTTATTTCTAGTCAGCAACACAAACATTTACTTATTGAATAAAATGAATTCATAATTAACTACTTAAGGGTTAATAAAGTTTTTTTGTTGATATCAATAATAGCATGAGTTTTGTGGAGAATTTTAGGAAATTTCACAGGTTGAAATCATGAGTCAGTTGAAGCTAGACCACCATTGAAAACCTGGAAGCACTGGACGGCCGTTTCGTCTTAGTATGGGACTCCTCAGCAGTGCGCATCCACGACCCCGCACCACCCGGGGCTCGAACCCAGGACCTACTGGCTTCGCGCACGAGCACTTAACCATTAGACCACTGAGCCGGCATCCAACGGTGTTAATGTCCAACTTCAACCAATCCACGAAGTTGCGCCATCGAACACCATGGTCTTCAGTGAGCTGATATCTCACAACAGACCTGGTTGAACTCCACTGGTGACGGCTTCTCACTAGAACTCCAGGAGGTTCTCCTGAGGAGTCCCATACTAGGACGAAACGGCCGTCCAGTGCTTCCAGGTTTTCAATGGTGGTCTAGCTTCAACTGACTCATGATTTCAACCTGTGAGATATCAATAATGTCATCATTACACTCCGAATTAATTGCATTGGATAATACTTCATACGCAGTTAAAATAATATTTGCCTACTTTCTAATTTATGTTACTAACTAGTTAATAGTAGTCTATGAATTATTCTTTCAATTATTTACCAGGAGTTATTTTTTACGGTGTTTGTCTAGTCTTTGGTCCAATTACATGTGAATTCATTAGTAGTCATTGATGAGAAGTCCTGAATTAGAATTTGATAGTAATTCAAAGCTCCTTGGCTTTTAGTGATTTTTTCAAATGGAGTTACTTACTCATAAAAAAATATTTTCAAGTTTATTATTTGAATAATCCTTGAGATTATCCAAGCTTTTCATAAAATATGGAAATAAATAGTTTTCTTTCCATATTACTACAGTTGTCAGTAAGTTTTACTGCAAATTTAGAACTAAGATGTTCATTCAAATGGAACTGACGCTATATAGTTCACCTAGCTCACAGTATTATCACTTCAACAGGAGATTGGAAATTCCCAGATATAGATTCGTCTCTTAAGACAACTTTTAGATTGAATTAGTAACAAATATTGATGTTTTAATTTGCTTGAAATTTATTTTTTCTTAATCATATCCTTTTAATTTTTAAGATATTAACAAAATGCTGTTTAGTTAATTGATAGTGAACATGTTTGTCAACTGTTCCGATCATTTGCATAGTCATTATAATCTATGTCATAAAAAACATTCATTAATCTAGAAATTGAAATAGATACAATTTTGAGGAATACATCTTTCATAGTTGACTTACGTCCTGTATATGGTTATTTTGATTCTTCCAATTACAAGGGACATTTCATAAGAATAGCTATTCTGATTATCGTTACATCCAGTTAGTGAAATTATGGTTGACAACTTCTTTTCACTTGTTTTCATTATGAAGTAATGGTTTTCAGACTGTCTATTAGGTTTATTACGATCAAATATGGGTTTGAATGGAGAAGAGAAACATTAGACTTAAACACCATTGATTAAAAGGATAGAGCACAATAATTTATCATTGAACACTTTATTAAATAAATAATTCTAAACGACTACACGAATTAAACTCGGATAAATCAAATACTTATTTTAAATACAACAACCTAGTTCCTTACAAAATGAGTCTTACATATCTCTTAGGTAAGAGACACATTAAACTGTTCAGTTTCAAATCTTTTTCTCAAGGTAACAAATATATCCTTGTACACCTTTTATCTTATATAGAGAAAAACAAGTGAATCGTACATGTTGAAAACATCAGAAGTGTTAATAAGTGATTGCTGAGAGATTTTAAAAGCAATAAATCTTTCGGCATAGAGCTGTTATCTATTTTATCATGCAGGTTGAAAACGTTTATTGTACAGCGAAATAAAAGTAATAGGCACAAGAATACAGACTTGACTTACTAATATTTCAACAACGAAAAATACAAATCGCTTAAACGTTTGGAATTGAAAAAAACCACACAACGTTGGTGAAAATAGCTAACATATTTTGAAGATAACTAGTCACATCATATGTAATGTAATTATTACATTCATTAGGGATTGTTTGCTTGAATGTTCCCATCGATTTTTAGGACTGCAGTTGATCAGTCATTTATTGGCATATTTGCATCATGTGCGGATTGCCTCTATAATGCCTTAATTCATAAGCTTCATAAGCAAAGATGGATGGTGGCTAGCAGTGGAATTCAGGATGCGCGTTTCGTTCTATTTGGGACACGTCAGATGAATGTACCTTCACCCGAGTTTATGATCATTCCAGGGCTCGAACCCAGTGCCGTTCGCCTCAGACGCTATCAAGTTATCCACTTGGTGAATGGTAGTGGGTTCGAGTCTCAGAGTTAACATCAACTCTCGGAAAGGTACATTCGACTGACGTGTCACAATTAGGACGAAACGTGTGTCCTGGATTCCACTGCTAGCCACCACTCATCTTTGCTTATAATATTAGTTATTATTATTTGAAAAATAGACTTAAAATCCAAAACAACTATGAAATCAAGTTGATATAACATTTAGCTGTCAGTAACTATAATTGTTCATTGTGAAAGTAATTTATTTAGAACTGACAGTAGCCGGAAAATGATTAGAAATCAGGAAGTATTAGAGACCTTTATACTAGTTTCGTACTACTCAGGAGTATTCAGTAAGAACCTGATAAGAAATCTAATTTATGATCTTAACGACCCTTATACGTTCAGAACACAAAATTAGAACCCAACAATAGGCATTTCTGACTTCAACCAATAATCATATACTTAAACATGTATACTGAATCAAAGCATTAAATTAAAAATAATAGAAAAAGTCTGTCTTCAGCTAAGGACTTCAGTAATTTTTTATTACGGATGAAAATAAATTTATTCATCATTAATTGATTGAATAAATTAGGGAACGGAATAATTATCTACTCGTCCTAAATGTTAAAAAAAAATAAATGACCATTTAAAACATGGGAATAACTAATTTAGTAGGAACTGTGATTTGCTGATGTAATTGAATCTTTATTGTTAACACAATATATTACGGAAAATTGAACCATTGGCCAAATGACAAATTATCTTAGGTCACAAAACAACTTCTGATTTTTCTTTTCTACCTGTTTATTAGTAATACGATTAACTATACAACTTTTATGGACTCAGTATTTCCTAGGAAAGTAAGCGATTGTTACACTCATCTTTGACGAATCTAGTTTTATGGAATTTGATGAAATTTTCATTAAAGGAAATAATTGGTGAATTTCGGTTATCACTGGTAACTAGACAAACGTTGGTTCTGAATAATCAATCAATGCAAATATCTCAATGTTATCCGAGACCCGAATAAAATCTTTAACATTTTTAAACGTGACATTATATGACTCGTCAGAATCTCGCGCAAAATGTAAGTTCACGATTGACTGAACATATACCTTTCTGATGAGTGTGATTTAGAATGACGTCTAGGTCCAGGGTTTTTGATTGCCTACAACCAACTAACATCCAATTCATTGAATAAATTTACTTAATTTATCAAAAGTCAATCATGAGCATATAACTGATTGTATTCTTTCATTTGTCATTCGCAGTCTGATGAAAGTGTTAACAAAATATTGTCATCTATAGTTTCAACGAATAATGACTTATTAACAGTTAACGTTTTAAATAAACTACCTAGTATTGTGATCAATATGAAAACTGAATAAACTGACAATCCAAGACGAGAAGCTGGCATTATATCAACACAATCTTGTAGAAATGTTAATAAAGATGATTTTATAAAAGAACAAACAACTACTCATTTGGTTGAACAAATTAAAAGGCAGACCACTCAACAGTATTTTGAAAAGAAAAGTAAGTAACTTTGTATTTGTAAAATAAAGTGTTTGGAAACTACTTTTAAATATGTGTGAAACTATATCATAAGGAAGATCCGAATATGTCAAGACAAATATACCTATCTAAATCCATATGGATAACTTTTAAAAGTATTATATACAATTGCTGACAAAATCCTAATAGTCTTTTAATTGAAAACATGTGAAGATTTCATATTCATAGAACTGTTTGATAGATTTTCTTATTTATTCCTTATGTCTTTTCTCTTTTATAATACAAGGAGATATAAATGCAAATGGAATGAAAAGAAAACCACTAGCTGAATTAGTGATTCGACAAGAAACTACACGAGTAGAAGATAACGATTTAATTGATTATCTAAAAAGAAGTGATAAGAAAACAACACAAAAGAAAGGTGGGCAGAGAATAAGTCATACTCTTCCCACTGGTATAGTTAAAGCATATTTACAACAAATGAGTAAAGAATGTTATACACTTACTATTGTAATGACATTATTTCATAAAGCCATTAAACAAGATCAATCAAGTATTTATCTATTGGATAAGTATTTCAAATCAACAAATATTAGAGTTCGTATGATTAACACTATAATTAGTGGAGAAGATTTGTAGCCCAGGTGGATGATTTTGGTGGAGTTTTGTTCTCTGAATCAATCAACATCGAGGTGCACAAAACAAGCTGTGAAACACATATGGAGAAATTCGAACACTTCACTTCTATCTGAAGTTTGTGCTGATGATGTCGTTCAGAAGAACGATGAAAGCTCCACGACCAAACCATCCAGCTCAGAGAACAAAACTCCACCAAAAACTATAATTAGTCCTAAATGGACTTTTCTTTATTTAACTAGTTCAATCGGTAATCCAGAAGAATTAATGAAACATATTAACATCATGTTAAGCTTAAAAACAACAGTAGATATTATGAATAGTATGAGAACAAAATATGGAGGTTATTTAAGAGATAAACAACATTTAGACTTATTTTTATCTTCATTTAAAACAACAAGAAATATACTAGAAAATCATTTAATCAATATAGGCCTACATAAAGCAGAAGCTTATATGATAATATACAAAGCTATTTGTAATGATAATGATGCTAAATAGAAGATTAATAATTTAATGATTATGAAATTCCCTCAACAATTAATTGATGCATTAATAACATTCAATAAAAAGAAATTGAAAAATGTAATTCATCAATCAATTCAAAGATCTAAATCATCTTCAAAAAATAGTTTCTTTGAATTTATTATCATCTTTAGAAAGATTATTAAATGATGATCATTCTTTGAAGGAATTGAATGAAGATAAAACAAAACAAAAAAGGAATAGCATCAGATACTATTGAACAGTTGAAACATTCAGATATTATACATAATCAGTTACAAACATTGTCTACAGTGATTGAATGTTCAAGTGATGATATTGTACAAACAGAAGTGAAATCAATTGACATGATAGAAGTAGGTTTATTTATTATGATGATTGAATATTTCTTTTTTTAAAAAATTTTAATTCACTAAATATTATAACAATTAGATGAGAAGCTATTTTTAACCATCTTTATTGTTTGATAAATGAAATGAAATAGACTAATGAACGAACTTGGTTTGAATTCGTCGGTTGTTTAATATTTTTGTATTGAATTTGAACTTAATATCAATTTAAATGTAAAATTTTGTGAAAATGTATCAAGCTTATAGTTTGATTCATTAATAAGTTTAAGATCAAAAGCTTGATATATTACCATATATATATGGATCTTTTCAACAGAAGCCTATAAGTGAGATGAGAATAATTTGTGTTCTCACAAAAAATGACGGTATCAAATCAATCCTTAGAAGAAGTACATTTTGAGATAACAAAACGTTTTTTTGTGTAGTGAAAATCGATTATGATATGTATATAAATAAACTTTCTAATACTCCTTTCTCTCTTATAAATTTTGTTGTAAGAAAGTCGTTTACATAAAGGCTAATGTACTCTTTATAATAATAAAGAAAATATCTACAGAGTCTGTTATGATTTTATGTCCGGTTTCTTATCACATGATTTATCCGCCAATCAAAATACAACTTATACAATTGTAGCATTGTGCCAAACCAATGACGTTCAACCGGTATGAGTAGTCTAGCGTCCTTATTGGTCCTTTATCCTCCTAGCCCGTCCGCTTGAGTCCAGAATTCAATACCAGCTTCTGCAATATAAATCGAATCATTTATTTCAAACATACTCGGTTTATATATCAACCAGACAAACCATAACGTATCATAAAATAGAAAATAACATGTGTACTCAATAAAGCCAAAAAGTGGTTGTGAATGTGGAAGGCAGTAGTTAATAAACTGAACATAGCTTAATAACCGTATATCGTACAATAATAAATCAAAATAAAGCTTATAATAAGAGGAAAATAAATACCCATCATGTAATCATTGAATAATCATACAATAAGAATATTTATAGAATACTAGTCCATTAATAGTCCTTGGAAGTAACCCCTAATTTAATCTTAGCTCGAATATAACAGAGTCCATCTTTATTTATTTTCATACGGATATAAATATTTTTATTTTATTTTAGATGATATCTAGTGGTTAAATTCGAGACAGACATTGTCATTCATTTACTTAGCTTGTTTTTAATGAACAAGAACATAACACCCCTGAAGTTCTGATTCTAAAATAAAAATATTCTCAATCATCTGTAAATCATACATGTTAACATTTATGTAAATGGCAGAATAGGTCAACTTTTCAAATAAGAGATTCTAGCAGATTCTAGCAAATAGTAAGTAGTTTGAATAAATCTTATTAATTACTTTATGCGTTTATTTGATCAATCTGTATTAATCATATTAGTAAGTTTTTCATTTTAACTATGGTCTAGTTTCAAAGGTTATCAAGTGTCTTTTAATATTATATCACTTCATTCAGTTGTATTATAAACGCATTCACAATAAAACAAACTAATACCTACTTTACGTTTTTTACTAGTATAGTGGTTGATGTTAGACACTATGACCATTGGATGCCGGTTCAGTGGTTCAGTAGGTTAGGCGTTTGCGCACGAGACCGACGGCACCGGGTTCGAATCCCGTGAGCGAGATCGTGGATGCGCACTGCTGAGGAGTTTCACAATGAAACAAAACGGCATTCCAGTGCTTCCAGGTTTCTAAAAGTGCTCTAACATCAATCGGTTCATGATCTCAATCAAAAACTCAAGTTTTTTTAATTTGATTATCCACATTTATATTAAAGTTGCTTAAAATTGTTACCACAGATAAGGCTTGAACAAATGTACATTCTTTCGTTTCCTGATCAATATTTTGACTTTTCTTCAACAACAAAAAAACGATACCATTTAAAAAATATGTTGTTTAGCATAATTCTGAATATGTTTTTTTTACATTTATCATTCAGTTCATATAATATCTAATAACTTAAAAGAAAATTAAACACTTCAGTAAGTTGAGCATGTCAATTCATTTAAGGAGAATTCAGTTTAACATTGAATATTAAAACAACTAAGAATATTCTATTTATTAAGTTTTACTCTAAAATGTACACGATTTTTGTAATTAAGTCAAAGTATATTTTTTCCTTAAATGAAAAACACAAAAGTCGAATACTTCAGGAAATGTTTATCTTAAAGAATAATAAATGAAGATATACCACTTAATTGATTGTTATGAACAATTTAGCTGCACTAATATCTATATGCTTTTGAAAATGATTTTCATGAGGAACAGATTGATTTGTTTGGAATATTTGATGAGTATCTCCATAGACTGTCAACCTTAACTGAAAATATTACTCAAAAGTCACTATAAAACTAAATGTCCAGTCTAAGAATAACAAAATTAAGAATCATCAAACGAGCTTTAATGAAAAAAGTCGAAAGAAAATGAACGTAAACAGATAAATACAATTAATCTTCTAGACTAATGAATACAAATTTACTAATTATGACTACATTACAACTATGATACGTGTTTAGACTCAGTAGGAATTGAAAATAGTCCACCTTGACAATTAGTGATCGCCAGTTAGATGTTAACAGTTTAGGAATTGACATTTGAATAATGTTCATTCATTTTATTGTATATTTCTATCCACCACAATGTATCTGATTGTACTTTTTTGTAACTTGTATAATGATTAATAAACAAAATGATGTGTTAAAATGAACGAAAGCAGACAACTTGTTGAAATATCTAGATAGCCGGAACATGTAGCCCCGAAATTCAACCAGGCCGTTTAGAATAGTATAGATATTATATCATAACTGTTTTATTTCCATGTAAAACAAATATTTCTAAACTGATCAACTGATTGGGTAAAATAATTTAAAATATAGTAAAATTGTTTGACAGTTCAAGTTTCCATCTGAATTAACAATAAATTATAGACTTGAACTAATGGATATACCATTATTTAACTTTGTAGAGTTATAATTAATATTTGAGCTTAATATAGATTACTCCAATCATGTATACTGTCTAGATGTTTGAGTATATTTTTTCTGCAATTGTCTCTTTATTCATAATTTCCGATCTACATGAATACCATGAGATTGTAATAAGTTCTCGTAAATATTGATCATGATCAATTGACTAAAAGCATAAATTATATAGAAACAAAAATCATGACATTAGTTTACGATATTTTTGATTGAGAAATATTATAAGTTAATCATTGTTATATCTAGATGTTTATCTTCTTCATATAGTACGTGTAACTTGAACGCTAGAACCCTTCCAAGTCACATCGAGAAAACAGAAAACTAGTAAGAGGAAGGTTATTAAAAACAGTGTCAAATTATAGTGCAAACCTGTCAGGTATTTATAGTTTTTAGTAAAGACGAAATCATCATTATAGCTGTCTAATCCGCACACGGGGGGTTATTAGCATTGTCTAATCGGGAAGCTAAACGTAGAGATTCTAGAATATTCTTCAAAAAGATGATTGGATGGAATATCTTTGGCTCTTTCTGAGATTCTTAAAGCTTTCTTAAGTTCATCCGTGAACCGCTCTCACAATCATTACTTGACCATTTTTTATATAAAATATATTTTATAAGGATCTATTCAATACAATCAGTTAACTAATGATCAACTATTTATAAGTAGGAACATTTAAGATAGGAGGACCAGAATATATGTGAACTTTTATCTGAACCGATTATTTTAAGTGATGTTTGTTAAGTTAACCAACCGTCACCACATATATTTAATTTTAGAAAGACATCACTTTCTTCGTCTTACTTTCTAAGGATTGATCGTCTACCTGACAATCAAATTAATGAGATCATAAAATCTTTGGCAAATGGGTTATTTGTTACATATCTTACTCACTTCCATTTTAATTATACTCCAAGACCTGGTGTTATCTGGCATAGGAATAGGTTGACAAAAGGTAGTATTGAACAGATAAAGACGTAGAATACGTTCATGAGCTCATTGTTTGTTGGTTTGATTCATGTTGGAAAAGGGGATCTCTGTATTTTGGCTCAATTGTGCAATGTGGTCCTGATCCCCTTGAAGAATCTGAAACCAGAACAAATAAGCTAACCCGTTCCTTCTCCTTCCAAATTGTCCTGAAGCCGGTATCGGTCAGTGTTAAAAACTGACATTACAGTCCTTCATTAATGAACATGAAAATATTATTTTGACTGAAAAATAATACTGATATCTCCTTCTGAACGTAATAAAACAATTTGTTTCATGTTTCACGTTCGACCAAAATTTTGATCAATGAACAAATAGTATACTCAACCACCTGGTTTCAATGACCCATCTAAATCTAAATACAAATTTGAAATAAGAAACGGGAACTTGTTGGAATATTTTGTGCTGAGAATTTTATATTGATTAAAGCCACTAATAATAATAATTTGTTAATTATTGTTTACTATTAAAGTCATTGTATAAAATGTTTTCTTATCATTGTTACTTACATTTTTTTATATAGAACACAATTACATGAATTAATAAGCTTTAGGTAATTTTAAATTAATTTTGAGCTTATTTAAACAATACTATCATATTAAATAAATTCTGACTTAATAGTTCAACTCATGAGTCAATTAAAGCTAGACCACCATAAAAAACCTGGAGGCACTGGATGGTTGTTTCGTTTTAGTGTGGGGCTCTTCAGCAGTGCACATCCACGATCTCGCCTTGAGAGATTAATACCCAGGACCTATCAATCACGCGACTTAACGCTTACCCTCAATTAACTCACGAATTGAACTATTAAATTACTATCATATCTATAAAACCTCTCTCTGATTAAATTCTGATTGTTTGTCGATGTATGTAAAAAAAAACTATCTATTTAAGAATATTTATCCAGCTAAGTGATCAAGTACGACTTCACTTAATTTTAAGACTAATGTTCTATTTGTGAAAATGAGTAGTATTGCTTTATTTACTTAAATGGTGGTTTAATGTAAATATAGAATGAATTATGATGTATATGTAATAAACATTAAAATTTCATTTATTCTAATAGTAAATAAGTTTCTTCTAAATTCATTTAACACTTGAGTTGCATAAACTTATTTTCATTAACCGGTATCATATATTATACTTAATTTTACTGAACTTTATCTTCTTGTTTCGTGACAATACATTTCAATTGAGTAATAACTAATAATTAATGAAGATATCGAGAAAAGGAATTGATTGGTCCCGTTCCCTTTCTAACGTGAAATCTATAGAAGGGTAGCATGAGTTAAAGGTGTTTAAAATATCCTCTAAATCAATATTATTGTCACAAACGATGAACGTGTCGTCCATATATCTAACGTACAGGTGAAATTGACTGATCATTGAGCTTAGTTGGTCGTTTTCTAGTTTTGCCATGAAGCATGACGTGAAGATATGACGTGTATGGGTTAGTGGGGAAGAACAAATTAGGTTAAACATACATTGTGTGACCATAAGTTATGTTTTCATACTGAAAGTAATTTTTAAAACGAGATATGGAATAACAACAATACAATAAACGAGCTGATACAAAAGTAATATGCATAAAGAAAATATAGTCATCATAAGGTGAATCAATTATTTACTGTAATCTTGAATGCATGACTTGATAGCTGAATTCAATGTATGACATCTGAAATTATCAAAGTGAGAAAGAAGATTGACCAGATGAAAAATACAGAAAGAGAAATAGAATAACAACTCAGTACTTGAGAAATATAGTTTAAAAGTCGGGAACAAAATCTATGAGCTAAAGTTACGAATGGTATTTATTAACTAAGTATTCAGAAAAAAGGATTTAGTTAACGCGATCGATTAATTTATCTATTTATCCAAACAATTATCACATAAATAGCACCAAAACATTCCTATATCAGTTTATCAAATTCTTTAACCCATTCGTTTTCTTTAACAAACTGTAAACACTTTCACTATTCAGAAATGAATACAAGTATATTCTATATTCACATGTAATTTGTTTGTTGCGATGGTCACTTGTCAAAATAAATAAAAAATTTTCTTACATATAAAATCGTCTTGTCATCAAATAGCCTTAGATACTAAGTGACTGATCAGCTATCTTAATCACTAATATATATATTTTTAAAAAGGGTATGGAAATTATCTTTGACTTATAATCTAAAATTTTTCTAATACTGGCAGTATTATTAAAATAAGATCAAAATAAACTTATTTAGGAAACAGTGAAACAAAGCAATCAATTCGATATGAATAATTTGACTTCAAAGGATACAACAAGATAGGACAATTTTAACATAACTAGATTATATAAAAAACACTTGATATAATGTTTGAATATGATGAAATGTTTCATGAAAAGAAAACAGATGAACTAGATGAAATGCAACAAAACAAAATGGAACTTCAACTAAAAGAACTAATCAAATTTAACAAATGGAAACAAAAAGACTGGGATAAAATGCCTCATGAAATCTTAAAGATAACAAGATCTTCATCATTTAACGAGAAAGATGTTAGATTATACAAATATTCAAATAAAGCTTTCTCAATAGATAAAATCAGTGATAAATCTGAAAATTTTGATGAGAATGTTGAATTGTTTGGATCTTCTGGAGACAAACGTATTTGTAAAAATTTGAATATGTCACATAGTAAACATAATAAAAAATGATGCTTTAGAAAATAAAAAAAATGAAAATATACTTGGTCGAACAACAATGCAGGTCATCACCTTGTAAAAGAACTCCACAGGGTCAAATAAAAATGGAAGAATTTCTATCAAATTCTAAAGAATTTTCAGCAAAGCAAGTTAAGGAATTGTCAAAGGTACCCTTCCCATCTTTAAGTTTGGAAAGTCTTGAATTATCTTACCATGATTCAGTGAGACCAACGAAAAATGGCGGAAATCTTGTAGTATTAAAGAGGTAAGCAGTTGGGTACAGTCTCTAACGGAACCAGTGTAAGTGAGACTGCTTTTACTTAATGCGCGCTATAACGAAAACATCAGTGACTGGAAAACCACATAACAATAGTAGGTGGATCAGTTGAAAGGTTGTAACGAAGAGAATTAAATGAATTTTTTTGCTTTCTCTTAGGAATATTAGTTTTACAGTAAGTGATTCCAGGATTTCTCTGAATGTATAATTAAGGAAGATTTCAGTTTGTCACGCAATTCTTCATATTGATACTGTACTTTTGTAAGGTCAGCAACACAGGCAAGAATTCTCAGTTTAACCACGAATAACAATAACTTAAGAACCAAACGATGTATTAGATACGATTTCACTAAGTTACTGCGATAGGAAATCCTAACCCCTACACTGTAGTGAAAGGTGAGGTTGTAAGAATGTTAACGTTAATCATTAAGGAAGGTCTCGGTATCTTGTGAACGTAGAAGTGCGACATTCGGGATTGTTTCTAGGGATGGCGGATATGATTTGTAGCTCATATGAATGATTTTGATGGGGTTTTGTTCTTTTAGCTGGATGGTTTGGTCGTGGAGCTTTCATCGTTCTTCTGAACAACATCATCAGCACAAATGTCATGTAGGAGCGGAGTGTTCTCATTTTTCCATACATGACTCATAGCTTGTTCTGTAAACCTCGATAATGATTGAAGTCAATTAAAGTAGACAAGATTCATCTGTTAACATTTTCCAACGGGATTAACCCAACTAAAGTGAGCAAAGATGAATGAACAATAACAGTTAAAATTTAGAAAATCATTAATTTGTAGGTTACAATTAATCAATTTTATCTCAAAAAGGTTAAGATATTTGCATTGATTTATTGTAGAAATATAATGGCTAATGAAACTACTAAAATGTTAATTAGCAGCAAAAACAGTCTCAATAAACAAAGGACACCAAAAAAAGAGGAAGTCAATGTAATTAAAGCCCAATACTTTACAAACTATAAAGAAAATATGATAAATAATAGACAGCATATTCCTAAAAGCGAATCAGTTAATTTAGCAAACAGTATAATAAATAAACACGGTTTTGTGAAGGGTAGTTTGACAAGTAGAAGTGAAGAGTCTTTATTTGAAACAGCTTTACCTACAAAATATGGCCCAATACACCCTGGATTATTTCCACCAACAATTGTATAGATACTACCTAAAATAAGGGAATTGAGAAAGCAGGAAAACCTCAGTCAACCTCCAACGTTCACGAATTTGTTAATGAACTTTCCGTGTACAAAATCAAAACAAATTAAACGGCAAAATTCAAAATTTGATTTTTTAGTTAAAACGTCATATAAATTGCCTTCATTACATAATAAGGTAGAACAAGAAAAAAGAAAATTAGAGGTGAATAAAATGAAAATAACAAATAAACTTTGGTATAGAAAACAAATTTCAGAAACTCCAAACATTCAGGTTGAGCTTTCATTAATTTTCACGTCTCTTTCAAAAATGGGATCAATTTCGACAATACAACCAACTTCGTCAATTACTTCACGATCTACTTATCAAGTAATTCCGCAAAAACCTCATAAAACACAGAAAAAAGCAATAAAACCGTCAGAAAATTCATTAGGTATAGATATCAGGAACTTTGATTTGAATTTCGATACACAAAACCTTTTACAGTGGTTTGGCAAAGTTCTAGAGGCAAACGTTGTTTCATCATATAAGCAAGAAGATTTAATGACAACACTTAAACTTGAAAAAGATAGAATATCAACGTTGAATCCATTGTATGAAATATACTGGGGGTCATCAGGTGTTAACCAAGGAATGCTAAAGCAATCACATTTTGAACTGATGTTTAAACAAATATTACTCATGGAATTAAGTAATTCACTATCTATCAAAAGAAAACAATCTAAGAATAAGAAATCATTTACTTTGCCAATAATTGATATCCCAAAACGAAATGTATCTTATCAGACATCAACTTCAAAATATATGGTCAAGAAGCAAGAGAATTTCCTAGTTCATAATGTAAACATGCTTCTTGATGATTTGTATAAAAATTTTCATTATTCACAAGATAAACTATCATTAAAAGAATTAATGAAAATCAAAAATGATCGTAAAAATACTTCAAACGCAATAAACTTGTAAGTTGTATTGATATAAATTATTTTTTGATTGAGATCATGAACCAATTGATGTTAGATCACCGTTGGAAACCTGTAAGCACTGGACAGTTGTTTCGTCCTATTTCGCGTTGTGCTGAAGAGTCTTAAAATAGGACAAAATGGCCGTCCAGTGCTTCCAGGTTTCTAACGCTGGTCTAACATCAATCGTTTCATGATCTCAATCAAAAACTTAATAATCTCTACAACCCTATACTGATATAAATTAGTTGAAAAATTAATTGTATAAGTCATTTACTTCTGGGGTTTTTTTGTTGCTAAACAATGCAAACAAAGAAAACACTTTAAATCTTATTGATTCTTATTTATTTTAATTAATATCCTTAGTAATTCATAACTTGAAACTATACTGGAATTTACCTGCTTTTTATAATTTCTAGGGTGATTTTATTTTAAAAGATTTCAATATTTAAAGGAAAAAATAATCATATTTATTACTGTAAAACAGAATTAATGAGTTTTGCAACCTATCAAGGTTACATAACAAAATCTGATATATTTCATATAGTTATTTCCTGGTTTTATGAAGTGAAAAAAGGGAATAAGAATAGTGTTTTAAGAAGAATAACATAAACTTATTTTCATTTTAAAATTACAAATGAAGTTTATTATATTTTTATATAATTAAAGTTAGTCAAAAGTTGATGTATAGTTTATTTCACAGTTATATTGAGACAGTAATATATGTGAAGTAGAGTATTGGACTCGAACTTAGTGACAGAGTAATATTGTATTTAATTAAACTTACAAAACAGTGACTTTATAATCCATTGAGAGAACAACTATTAGTTTCATAGAGACAGTCTTTTAAAAACACACAAGTGTTTTATTATCATATTTGGAATCGAATGAATACTCATGAAAAACATATGCTCACTAGTGACTGGCTTCAAGATGTATATCCTGGAGTTCTAATGAGAAGCAGTGACCAGTGGAGTTCAACCGGGTCAGTTGTAAGATAGTAACTCACTGATGACAATCGTGGATATGCCGCTCAATTTCGTGGATTAGTTGAACTTAGACATTAACACCGTTGGATACCGTTTCAGTGGTCTAGTGGTTAAGTGGTCGTGCGCGAGATCAGTAGGTCCTGAGTTCGAATCCCGCGAGGTGGGATCATGGGTGCGCACTGCCGAGGAGTCCCGTACTAGGACGAAATTGCCGTCCAGTGCTTACAGGTTTTCGTTGGTGATCTAGCTTCGAGTGACTCATGATCTAAACTAATAATATTCAGATTTGTACAGATATTTATTACGAATAAAGTTAGGATAATTCAATAATGTAAATAAAATCTCAATAAATAATATGAATGGCAAAAATCAAAATACAAATAAAGTAATTGGTATATATATAATAACCATATAATAATGATTATTTAATCAACAAACACTGTGTGTAGATTTTAAAGGAATATAAGCCATTTCACTTCATAGACATAAAAAGTCACCCATTACTGTGATTATAACCATTGATAATGAATTAACAATCCATCAGAAATAAAGATTTTGGAAAACTATACGAATAAATAATGCAAAATATAAAATGTCAAAAATGTACAGTACATATAATGTAACAAATATTGTTAAAATCTAAGCAAATTATAAATATTTAATAAAATGAATTCACTTGGTATTGTTTACTTAAATCTTCCCATTGATGTTTATTTAGTACTGCAATTGATCAGTCTCTTATTGTCATATGTGCATATTGCCTGGGTTTCAGTGCCAGCTGATGAATCCTAAATAGGACGAAACGCACGTCTTTGATTCCACTGCTAGATACTATCCAATTTTTCATATAATTCTATTAATAAGATGTTCTAGATGAATGTAATATTCAGTTTGTGATGTTAATTTTTTGATTCGTTTTTTAACTTGTGTTTATTTACTATAATATTGCCTAAATACTTTATTAAAATCTCCCAAATGATATGCGATTGTAATATCTTATTCAATCTTTTTTAATTCTATTCAGACTCTAAACATCTTTGTTACTTTATACACACTATACTAAGTTTATTGTTATAAAATCATGATCAATTTCTCGTGTAGTTGTGTTCTCTGTGATAGATAGTTCAATCATCATTACCATGAACTTAAGATGAAACACAATTTATTTAAACTAAATTAAGAGTTGTAATTACGAGTAAATAGAAAAACAATTTATTGAGTTTCAAATTTACAAAAGTCTCAGTTCAAATGTATGAATGATCTAAAGTGCAAAATGCGTTGCTATATGAAATATCAGATTCATTAAACCCTTACAACCAACTTATCAGTTTGACCATAAGTTAAATCTAAATAATGATTCCCTACGCCCATAGTAAATATTTATAACAATCTTTTAGTTTCAAAACTTGTAAATCACAGTTTAATTAAACCTGTACTACTGACTTTCTCAATTTCTACACATTTTTATTAGCCAACTAATTATGTATATCGACAGGGTAAAGTAGTAATGAGGTTATGTAAGATGCTTACAACTTATCATTGAGACCACATGTTAAAAACCCACACTAAGACACTTCAGTGATTGATGTATGTTTCTCTTTACCAATCAGTCGGAGGAACGAGTCGAAACGACATCGGGATTTTCGCATGTAAAGTCAATTATATTTGATATAGAATATGGCAAGAGTTAACGTTATCAAAGTTCATATAAAGCGCAATATAATTCATAAAACACCATACAAGGAGCAATGTAGAGACGGGAGATACATACATAATTTGTGTAAAAATCTAGAATCTTGAATATGTTACTTATTATTAAAATGCACTGTAATAATTAAGTGTGAAAAAACTCTTGTAAATAACTATTAAGGTTATTTTACTTAATATTTTTTTAACTGAGAAAGAATGTACGGGTGTAATGATAGGACGTATGAAGGATCAAAAGCGTTTCATTTAGATTCCGAACAATATAAGATATCAGATAAACGAACTAATCTACCTAGAATAGAATCACATACCTATCACCTAGTACATGGAACGTTTCACTGTCGTTATGAAGCACTGATGAGAAAAAAATATCAGAGTTTAGGTCTCTCAATTTCCAATCCCATTACTGGGATGAATTTAATTCAAGAATGTATGCACAAACCAACTCAACAAAAAAGTAAGCGAAATAACTCTTTCCAAAGTTTTCGTTTATGTATGTGTGTACACATATATAATTTTATGGGCGTACATATTGTCACCTTGATAAAGAGTTTAGGAAAGTCACAAAAAGATGTGGAATGAGCTTAAGAATCCAGAGGCTACTTTTAAAGGCACTATAAATATGGATTCAGCAGTTATCAGATGCTTGAATAAAGTTGTTAGAATAGGTCTACATACGCCTTCACGCAATATTGTACTCGTGAATTGTCACTATCCAAAAGAATAAAACAATGGCAGACCCGATAAAACCAATTGAGACAAGCGGCAATTCTGATCAGACAGCTAATTTAGGACCGCCTGAAGTGAAAAGCGTAAGTGAACACTGGACTATTCTCTCAGCAGATGGAATATCAGACTGACTAGTGAAGTATATTTATGTACGCAAAAAATTTCAAATCAGTTGACCTAATAAATCAAGATCATGTCTTAGGCAGGAAAGCTAATGGGATATCGAAGCTAAAACCAAGTCCTCATGTCCACCAGTCTAGTCAATTGCACCTTCAAAAAGCTTCGTGAGGAATGTCAATCCAAAATTTAGGGACGAAATTCATAAAGACCGCCGACTGCATTATTGGGTGATTTCTTGATTATGGTACTGCCTAATCCCTTATATCATACTTCTTAAAGGTTAAGACCGGCGATACGCCACATACGAATCGATCCTGACTTCTTTTTCGCATTTGTGACAAAACAGAATGATGGTTACCGCATCCAAATTTCAGTCGAGTTGCAGATTCGAACACAACTATACCTATTTTGATTTAGATAGGTGAGAAGTATCACCAGACCTCACGTAGAAAGGTGAGACAAAGTCAGCTGCACAGGCTTGAGTTTGGTTGTTCAGTTGAATTAATTTCAATCAACAGAAGGAAACACGTATTATGGAAGAAAAATCGAAATGTTAAAACATCAGTACTGTGTGAACGGTGTTAAAGATATTGAGGAACTATCAACTTGTGACCTATTGACATCGGTCGTATAAAGATGATAATACTGCATGTAGTAGTCAAAGAATAATTTATCTTAGTTATTAGACATGTGCTGGGAAATAAAGTATTATCAAATCAACCCGCGAAGGTATTTACAAATAAGTTGGAAATGATAATGGGAAACACCCTGATTTTACTTGGAATTGGTTTCACTAGTGTGATCTATCTTTGACTTCTGAAGCATAATTTTTGGTAAGAGCTATTTTTATGATTGAAAACGAGAGCTATATATTATCACACAAAACAAGTCAATTAGGACAGATACGAATGAACATTGTGTCAGGAAAACCCACTAGACACATACCTTTATACGGAGGTCAATTTGACTAATAAGCGCCTAAAGACAATTATACCCTGTGATAGACTTTTTCTCCTACATATCGAAGGGGTAATGACTAGACTTCGTTATGCAAAGTGCTTTCCAATACAGAAGTGTCTTCTAACTGCTTCATATATATCGCGAAGAAGTAAACGAACATTTGATCGGTTTATGTGGGATGAAACATATTGAATATCAAATAGAGGACTGCCGTCTGAAAAAGATAGTTACCGAATTCGGAATGTATCTATACTTTGTTTTTCTAAAGCAATTGAGTATGATTTCCTAAAACATTGGATAGGATATACAAAAACCTTGTCGACGTATAATCGAGCAATCAATGTATAAATTGTGAGTAGGTGATTGACTAGGATGATATAGTAAGCAACAGTATCGCACAGTTCTGTCACTTTATTGGATAATGAAAGAACAAGTTATTTCCCTAAAATGAGGTAAGAGAGAACAGACACATAATAAATAATGTATTCACGTTTAGTTT